GTGTGCTTGGACTGTAATTCCCCGTCGTCATTCCTTTAATTCATTTTTATGGCCGTTTCGATTTTTTTTTATATCAATAGGTTTAGTATCGATTTTGTTTGCGAAGATTATTTATGGGGTTTATGTAATTACTGTTCTGCTAACTGAATAACATCGGACAATGATCTAATGATAGATTTAAATTGTTTCCAACTAAATCGGATAGTTAGAAATGAAAGATGATCACTGAAACATCAAATTTGAGACCATTATTTTTCTCTCAAGTATTGTGCGGTCTTTTGTGCGCCTCGGAGGGTGTGTGTGTGTCAGTCAGTGTGTGTCTGTGTGCTTTACAGATATGTCTTTTAGAATTGAATTACAATTGTATGCAAATATGTATACACACACACACACACACACACACACACACACACACACACACACACATATATATATATATATATATATATATATATATATATATATATATATATATATTACACACATATATATACACACATATATATATATATTGTATATATGTATGTATGTATATTCAGTTATCCACCTATGTATTGTATATCTACAATCATACACTGAATATCCATGCATGTTTTTTCCTTCTTCTGCTCACTCAGCCACTCGGCGTTCGCGGACGAAATTCTCAGAACTCAAAGTCGCGCATTTGAGTCGACGCTCGGACGTCACTTTAAACGCAATATTGTTCGAATTAACTATAACAGTTCAATCACTTTTCTCGACACGAAAAAGTCTGATGCCAACAATGAGTTATTTTTAATTGCTTGTCTTAATTGTCGAGTGAAATTATTTGCCGCAGTTGTTTCGCGACGCAGTTTTGCACAAGCCAGGCGCTGTTGCCAGAGGCCGCCATTTGCTTCATTATTAGTTCTTTTCTTTTCCTCTTGGTTTATCAAGGGAATTATTTTCTAGTTTGTCTGACAAAGCTGCTTCACTCTGGATATATATGTGTATATATATATAAATGTGTGTGTGTAGATATATATATGTATATGTATGCATATAAACATTCATATATATATATATATATATATATATTATATATATATATATATATATATTATATATATATATAGTATATATATATTTATACATATATATATATACATATACACATGTATACATATATAAATAATAGATCTACTTACATTTATACACACACACACACACACACACACACACATATATATATATATATATATATATATATATATATATATATATATATATATATATATGAATAGATATTTGAATATATATGTATATATATCCATTTATATATATATATATATATATATATATATATATATATATATACATATATATCTTCACTCTGGATATATATGTATATATATGTATGTATATATGTGTTTATATATAAATGTGTGTGTGAGTGTGTACAAACTGAACACATCATTTCCTAATTCCCTCTTTTGCATTTTTTTCCTCGACCTTTTTTTCTAGTTTTTTACTTCATCTTTTTTTCACCTACCTTTTATTTCCCAGATAGTTGTTTTTTTTATTATCATTTTCTTTGAATTCTTGTTTTTCCTCCAACTCCCACACCATTTGCCTCCCTTTTCCTCCCCCTTCCTTTCCACCTATTATTCACCCCTCCGTTTCTCTTCTCTCTCCTCCACTTTTTTTCTCTTTTCCTCTTTCCCTCTCTTTTCCTCCTTCCCTCCCCTATCCTCCTTATTTGCCTCCTATTTACCATCCTACTTCCCGTTTTTCTTTCCTTCTCTCCCTCTTCCCTATTTATCCTCTCTTACTTCTCCATCCTCCTTTTCATTCGCCTCCCCCTCTCCCCTCCCATCACCCCCCCCACCTCCCTCGAGATAAAAAATAAATAAAAAAATAAATCTTTTTTACCTATTCATATTTATTCATATCAGCCGCACACAAAGACCTTCGTTCATTTTACCCAACAGTCAAGGATTCAAAATTATGCAAATCCTGAAATCTGAAAATCTGCTAATCTGATAATCTCCAAATCCAATTATGCCCAGGCGCCGAGACAATGTCATTAGCAGGATGTACACAATGCCGAAAGTCTGGAAAATCCGAGCTAATCATATTCAGGCAAGTGAGCTAATTACCAAACTTTCATCCCGAGTTTATGGCGTCGAGAGTGCAAAATTATCAAAATTATGAAAATTATTCGCATTATCGTGCGCGGATGGCGTTGTCAACCGGGCGTGCGCAAAATTAATACACGTGTTTTTTTTTAATAAGCTCCATGATCGTCTTGGAAAACGACTCGCTGGAGAATTCGCCTGTAAGAAACTTTCGACGGAATTAAGTGATTAAGTCCGATACTCGGAAAACAAAAGCGCAGCGGAGAAGCCATTTTGTGACATTCTCGCTCCAACTTAAAGGATCCAAGAGTACGTGACCGCTGTTTTTACTTTGATTATGAACTTTGTGTCAACATTTACCTCTTCCATTGTCCGATTCTTCTGTCCTGATTATTTTTTTCTCT